TTGTTCACTGCACATTTTCTCTTTGCAAAACACCTTCCTGCCACCATCTCAGAGCACTGTGCCGTTCCTGCTCCTTGTATAGATGGTCATGTCATCAAGGGCCTTGTGTCCTGTAGCCTGTCTCTGGGCTGCTGCACCCAGGTGGCTTTTCACAGGAAGCTCTGAGCGTTGGATCTCAGGGAAGGTGGGGCAGCTGAGAGCTATGGGAAACGTGTGATAATCTATGCAAAAGCATGAGGAACATAATCTAATTATTTTTCTCAATGAATAAAATTATTAGATTATGTGCAAAATACTTTTACATAGATCACCCTACTCATTGCCACAAATGCTGTCAGAAAGGTGGAATTGGGATTTTTATTTCTATTTTACAGCCGAGGACACTGAGACAGTGTCTGGGTCCAGGTGCATGGTGTGACATGCTGCAAATGATAGCTGAGGAGCAAGGACAGACAGAACTCTCAGTAAAAGCCAGCCAAGACCGCCCTTGCTTCTTTCAGGGCACTTGATGGCCTGGTGCACTTGGGATGTTCCATCAAGTGCTGAAAGGGAGGTGCTGCAATGGCCTCCTCCGGGGGGAGGTGTCCTGCTCCCGTCTGCATCCCCCTCCTGGCCAGCATGGGCTGGGTTTGAATCTCAGCGCTCCGACTTCTGCACTGTGCCCTCGTGCTAAACACCCTCACCCTCTCAGGCCCCTGCACAAAGCCCTCCAGCACTGATGGAAGTCAGAGAGACAGCTTCCTCCCTGGCAGGTCAGCAGGTCTACCTGTCCTGAGAGCAGGAGCCCGAGGCCACCCACGTTGTGTCTGGGAGCCCAGGCACAGACCCCACACAGCAGTCCATGTCCCTTCCCTGAGGAATGCTCAGGGGTCACTCTGCTTCTCGCTGTCCTGGTTCCAACATTCAGGTTCAACCTGCAGCCTGTCGATGAGTTATGTGGGCACAAAATGACTCTGGGCTGAGCATGTGGACCAGAGACGATGCCAACACGACAAGAAGTAAAAGGGAAGCAGCTGGCACTGAGACTTCACCAATGGTGTGCAAAATTCCAGACACCTAGAGGCAGCCTGGCTCTGCTGGTCTGGTCCCTGTCTGTCCCCGTGGCAGTGACTGGTGCAGACGTGGTCATGCCAAGTGGATTGAGTCTCTTCTCCCTGTGCCCAGGCCCGAGAGTGTGTTTGGCACAGGCAAAGGAGTCTGCAAAGGGTCATGACTCTTTTAGGTCTGCCCTAATATTCTGGGTGGCTAGCTGTTTATGTCTCTGGGCTCTCGATGGAGTCTGAGCAGTGGCTCAGCCTTGGAAGGTTCCAGGTCCCTGACTTGTCCATAATCTTACCACAATATAGACTGTGGCCAAGTCCAAGCCACCTGTCCTGAGCCTGTTTCCTCCTGGGTAAAACAGGGGTTGGAGCTGGACCTCTTCCCAGGGAGGGCTAAAATGGTTTGAGTGGAACCAGGTGCCGGCCTCGCCCTTCCTCCCCAATGCCTGCTTGTTCCCTTTGTTTGTTTTGGTTTTTTTGTTTTTTTTTTTTAACGTATATATGGGTGGTTTCTTCAAGCCAAACCCTCTCTGAGTGGCTTTCTCAGTGACAGCCCTTGATTGAACCACTCTGAGCCTCCCTTCCTATGGAACTCTGCCTGGAAAACTCTAGCACAGAATGTTCTAGTTAGAAGATCTGGATTAAAAACTGGGAAACAGGATACATCCAACATCCAGTCTGAAGAGAAGGTCCATGATGCTGACAGTTCACCTCCTTCCCAGCAAAACCTCGAAGGGTCCAGAGTGTTCCTGGAGCTGCTGTCAGACAAAAAGTCGGCCTCTCCTTCAGCATTCAATGCCCAGGGAGTTGGGGACCCCCACTGAAGCTATGGTGGCCATCTTGACCACCTTCTTCCTTCTCTACTGGGCCTGGGATTTGCAAAGTTATTCTCCTAAATGCCTCTTGATGGGCCTAAATTGCTGCATTCTAGCATGGCAACACCTGGAAGTAAAGAAACTACCTGAAGGAGATTATAGTCAAGGGCAGAGGACCTATAATCAAGGCCAGCCCTGCCCAGGGGGTTGTACCTGCAGAACAGTGAGCACTTGGGAAACCCTGAGTTTCCACGGCCCTGTGAGCAGATTTTTCCCTCTCCTAAATGAAACCTTAGTTTGCAAACCCCAAGCTTAGACAATTAAATCAACCCAAAGGGACCAGGGAGTCACTTAGGAACGTCAGAAGTCTGTCCAGTGCAGCCCCGAGCACACAGCAGGGAAGGAAGGAGACAATTGCTCCTACTATTTGCCACCCTGAGAAGGGAACTCCCAAACCATGGGTAACTTTGCAGAAGACCCAGAAAGCAGGACAACCTACAAAAACTATTTGCCTGCCTTTGGGTTCATTTTTCCCTAAGGCAATGTCTTACATTTAAAGGGAAGACCACCTATCCTGCACCTGCATCTCCTATGGGACGCAATGGAAGCTATCCTCTGTTTCTGGTGCAATCTGAGCTCAGCCATGCACCTGCTTCCTCCTCTCCTCAGGTCTCTGTGCAGGATGGTGGTCTTCAGGCCTGGTTCTGCCCCAGGCAGGTGGGAGGAGAAACAATGGCAGCAGAAGGTAGCTCCCTGGGGCTCCTCACCTCGTGGCCAGGATAGTTTTACTTATTGTGAGTGCCCACAGGGAGACCCAGAAACAAGCCTTCTGCCCAGTTACGAGATCATAGTCACCTGGATCTCCTGGTGTCATGCCTGTCTTCATGGTTGTCACTCCCACTGACTCCCCCAGCTGGGGAAGACTGACCCTGACTGGGAGCAGTGGGGACCATGGCCCTTTACCTTGGGACTGGTCTTACCCCCAAGTAATGGGCTCTCTGCATTTCTGGCCTCACATGTCAACTGTATACATATGATCACTTTATGCTGATCGAGGCAGACACCATCAGAACCCTTGCAAGTATGTGTTCATTTAGTTAGGCCACTATAGCAGAGTGCCAGAGGCTGGGCCAATATAACTAACAGAAATATATTGTCTAACAGTTCTGAAGGCTGAAGTCTGAGATCAAGGTGGCACAGGGTAGATTTCCCTGGTGGGTTGTGATGAGGTTCTAGTCCAGCCCTCTCTCTTTGGCTTGTAGGGGACCAGCTCCTCCCTGTGGAAACTGTCACGTTGTCACAACTGACAGAGTCTGTCTCTGCATCCAGATTTCCTTTTCTTGTAAGGACACCAGACATGCTGGATGAAGCCTATCCAGCGACCTCACTTGAACTCATTACTTCTGTAGATTCTATCTCTAAATACAGCCATACTCTGGGCTATATCGAGGTTCAACTTGTAAATTTGGGAAGACTCAGTTTGCCCCATAGCAGACCTGGGTGGCTTTTGCAGGATCCTAGCCCACCCCCATGGTTCAGGGGAGAGAAACTGAGGAGCAGGAGGGGAGCGATTTCCTTCTACCACCAGCACCAACAGCTCTGTTTCTGGCCTCTTGCTGGGTGCCAGTGCGTGCAGAGTGGACTTCATGCGTTGCCTGCCTGGTCCTGGTGGCCGCCTGCTGTGAGTGTCCATGTACTGTCCGTGAGGACACCACTGTGGAGGTAGATGGGGAGCAGAAATTACTCTCAGCGGGTGGCTGTATTGTCTAGCACTTGTATTTTTGTTATTAGGGTCTTTGTCTCTTTACTCTTCACATCACCGTCACTTGGCTGTTTCTGCATGAGTTACGGTCCTCCCTCCAAGTCAGTCTGCCCCGGGTCCCAGCCATGCCTGCACTTCCCCTCCTTACTCCAGAGTCCCTACAGTGAACGCCACTCCTTCCTCTGGTTTAACACCTGCCCTGAGCTGTCCCCTCCAGGGTCCCTCTAATGTAGGTATTACCTCTTAATAAAAAGCCAGCAGCTCTAGCCTGTGCTCTCCAGAGAAACAGAACCACAGTGTGTGTGTGTGTGTGTGTGTGTGTGTGTGTGTGTGTGTTCATCCTAACAAGTTGGCTTGAATTTACTCTAATTCCAGGGAGGGCAAGCTTTTGTGCTATTCCGGTCTTTGCCTGATTGGACAAGGCCTACCCACATTAGGGAGAGCAATCTGCTTTTACTCAGAGTCCACCAAGTGTAGTTAATCTCATCCCAAACACCCTTACAGCAGCATCCAGAGTGATGCTCAGCCACATATCTAGGAACCACGCCTCAGTCAAGTTGACACAAAGTCGACCATCACAATCATTATGCCAGCATAATCCAAATCTTCACTGGAGTCTCAAGAAACTTATGGGCAGAAGGCGAATGCTCAATGTATCTCAAAAAAGTTTAGATTTCCCTCTTGCTAGCATTGATTGTTGCTGCTCCCCCACACTCTGCTTCTCCCCCTCTTAAGAGCCCAGGCTCTACACTTTCTTCACCCAATCTGTATTATACCTACCTGTCATCTATCTATCAATAGATCTGTCATCTATCATTCATCTCTATAGCTAGCAATCACCTGCCTCTCTATCTATCTCTGGATCTGTCTGCCTATCATAAAGTTACTGAAAACCTTGTAATGGAGGAGACTCCCGTCTCCCTTCCCTTCTCGTCCTGGAGTCTGGATGTCAAGAGGTAACTACTTTCATCTTTCATCTGCTTCTTCTGGAATTTTAAAATAACATGCCTAGAGTGTTCTTCATTGACTTTCAGTTCCAGCCCTGCTCTTTTGTCTTTTGGCTGTAGGGCTTACCTCGTTCTCCCCATCCACCCCTCACAATCAAGTCCCAATTACTAGTGGACTCGGTTTTGTTCTTTCAGTACTCACGGCTGTGTACGAAATCACAGTTCACAGACCTGGCTCGTGTCTGTTGCTACGATTACATTTCTCTTCTTCTAAAACGTTTTGTTTTTTTCTGGAGTTGATAGCTCTTTCTTTTCTTCTTTGGGCAGTGTGGATTTTCATGTACTTATCATTAATGTAGCCCCAAACATTGCTTTTAACAAATGGAGAAAAAAACCCAGTATGACACGTCAGAGCTGTCTCCATCCCAGTGTGTTCCTAGAGGACTTTCTGTTGGGCTGATGTCCCTGAGATGACTGTGGAGCTCTGGTTCCCATCCCTGCTGTCCTCTGCGTGGGTGCTCAGGTCCTGGCCCTGCATCTTCTCAGCTCCCTTGGTCCAGTGGGACTGGTTGAGAAAGCAGTGGGGTGGGGGAAAAGCTGGATACCCCCCATTTGTCCCAGAGCTGCCTTCCACCCAGCTCCTCACCCTGTGTCCACCTGCTGTGTCCACAGGCTCACTGCCTCCTGGCCAGTGGCCATTGGGGTCCTGTGGCTGCCCCACCACACAGCCACACACAGGTAGCTCAAAGTGACAGAAATGTGCTGTTCTGGGGACCATGAGTCCAAGATCATGGGACCAGCAGGGATGATGGCTTCCAATGACCTTGAGGGAGACTGTGCTTCTTGTGTCCTCCAGCTCATCACTTTGACCTCTGCCTCTGTCTCCATGTGGTCTGCATCTCCCAGACCTCCCTCCACTTCACTCCTGTATGGGCAGCTGTCACTGAATTTAGGAGCTGCCCCAAATTCAGGGTGATGTCATCTTGAAATCTTTAAATTACTTACATCTGCAAAGACCCTTTTACAAACAAGATTCCCTTCACAGGTTCTGGGGTTCAGGTGTGCACATATTTCGAGGGAACCCCATTCAATGCATCACAGAGGGTTTCAGAGAGAAACACTGGTAAGCACACATGTCCATTAGGTCATGCATACACAGTGTCATGTGGATGCATACCTTGCCACCCTCCCTGCTCCCTCCACACCCGATCCCTCGACCCACCCACTGGGGACCTGACCTGGCCTGGTCATCACTCCTGGCCCACACATCCCAGCATCCCACATGTCACAACAGCTCCTTCAAACCTGACCCCTCTGCTCTAACAGTCCTGGAGTCACGGAGCTCCCAGACATCTGCCTGCTTCCCTTGGGCCAAGGATGCTGGGGACTTTCTCTGCATCCTCGATTCTGAGATTCGTGCCTCAGTCGCGCGTCCAGGTGCTAGTGCTCACGTCGGTGTGTGCTCCGGGTCTTTGCTGTTCTGGTGCAGCTCATGCAGCTCAGGTGGTCTGTCCTGTGGGGCAGTGTGGTTGTGCTCTGTGTACAGAGGGCCTGGTAACACTGGGGGCACACACTGACCTTGCTCTGGACGCAAAACTTCTGTGGATGCTCCTGACTCACTAAGCTTGCAGATGGCCACTGAAACTTGGGCCCCTGTCTGTGCACTTGCTTTTAAGAGCAAATCAGGACTTTTGCATTTAATTGTGTTGACTCTGGCAGCTCTCTGGGCACAAGTGATGTTTTGAGTCTGCCTTCCTGCAGGGGAAGGCCTGTATGGAATTTCAAACCCGAGTCCTGCCTGCTCCAGGTGAGGGCCCCTCCGTGGGACTGGTTTGCCATGCTGGAAGGTGCCTGAACTCTGTTCCTGCCAGCACCTGCTGCCCCACTCAGATGCCCCACCCCTTGCATCTGGAGCCCCAAGTCTGGCCCTGGCTGCTCTACCAGCCCTCTGCTCTGGACTGGATTCTCTCTGGGCCCACGTCTAAGGGGGGTAGGTTTTCCTGAGGAGACCCTTGTGGCTCTGGTCACCCTCCTGTCCTAGGGACTCACAGGTCATGACAGAGCTGTGTTCTAGACATGGTGTCCTGGGGACCCAGCAGCTCATTAGGAAAGAGTCTTTATACGAATTCCCATGGATGCAACGTGGGTGTGTGCACACGCACACATACACGTGCATGTATGCAGGAGGCCCAGGTCTTCCAGGATTCTAATCTGGGAATGTGTAAAGGGCCAGTGAATCCACTGTTCCCAGTTCTGCATCTCCAAGTGGCCTGAGGTGGGTGGCTGTCCCAGAGACTTCCAAAGCTAGGGACAAACCCTCAGGAAGAGGAGAGGCTTGGGCTAGGGGAAAAATGAGACCCAGTTGTGACATCTTGGTGTGAGGCAGGAAGTCTGGAACAGAAACCAGATTGCGATGCCCAGAGATGCACAGCCCAGGGGAGAGCCATGCATTGACCCGGTGGACAGACACTGGGCCAAGGACCCAGATGGTACAGGCCTTCCTTCAAGTGTGTTTGTGTCCAGGTGGGGAATGTGGCCTGGGACAGAAGAGGAGGGAATCTGGGGTCCAGGGAAGGGACCTTGGGTCTTTTCTTGGCTTGGAGGTCCTACTTGGCTGAAGTCCTACTAAAATCCACTTCTGATCCTGCTGTGTGGGCCCAGGGTGTCCAGGCACTGGCATGGGCATCCCTTGTCCCTCACCCCCTGTTGGCTGGAGCTTGGTGTGCACAGCTCACAAGGCCTGGTCCCAGAGTGGGGACATGGGCCTGGTCACTTAGCAGGCAGGTTCAGGCATTAGCTCAGGGTGTTGGGAAGAGGAAGATTGAATGTTGCAAACTGGAAACAAAGAAAGAGGCTCTGTCTTTTCCTCCAGTCTGTAAGTTTTACATTGTGTGACTTTGTGACACTTCTGAGTCACTATAGAGAGAGGCCCCATGACCTCTGTTCTTTGTGGCTTCCAAAGGCCTCCAGAGGACCCTGCAAGACTGGGCTTCCTGTTGCTATCTCCCCAGTCTCCTGAAATGAGCTCAGGTGTGTGTGCATGTGTTTCTGTGTGCTGGTCATATCCTGTGAGAATGCATGTGGTGTGGGTATGCACACAGTGTGCACGTGTGTACATGCATGTGTGGTGTGCGTGCACAGGTGTGCAGGTGTGGATGTGTGGGGTGTGCATGCATGAATGAATGCTCATGTCTGCATATGTGCTCATGCCTATGTGCTTGTTGGTCACAGTGCAGTGGGTGCTGGGCTCTGCCCCCCGAAGTGCCAGGACCTTCCAGGTGAGGCCAGCCCCAAGGGCAGCTGGTTGTGTGTCATTGCCATAATTGGAGCCAGCCAGGTGATGGCAGTTGAAGTCAGGTCCTACCCTCCCAAAATGCTGGTGCAGGGGTGGGGAGGGGGTAGAAGAGGGCTCTCAGACCCCCATGGTCCTGATAGAACTCATTCCAGGACTGCTGTCTGGGAGTTGGGTGGGGTGTGTGTCCTCTGGTCACACCTCTGGACAGCTCCATCCAGCTGACCCTCACACTAGGTGTACCCCAGAAGACATGGTTCAGGGTGGTGACCTGGTGATTTGTAATCCCAGAGCTGGAAGTCCCCACCCTGGGAGCCACCTGCTCCCCGCACTGGCACCCGCAGGTGCTAACAAGGTAACGAGGCCAGCAGGCAGGGGGTAGGACTCCTTGCCCCTCAGGTCAGATTCTCCTTGCAGACCGTGGTCCACGTGGGATTTCCAGGCAAGGCTCCATCCTCACCTGTGCATGTAGGTGCTTCATCCTTCCCTCACGCAGATACTCCATACAAGACTCTGGGGACTGGACACATGCCTGTGGGCCTCATGGTTCAGAAATGACCGTGCGTGACCCATTTGGACATGGTGGGAGGAGTGGTGTGAATTCCGTGTTGGGAAGCGTAAGGAAATCTACCCAGAGGAAGGTTTAGGAAGGCTTGGGGAGCAGGCACTGGCTGGTGCTGACCTTGGTCTACAGACTGGGCAAGTTTTAACATGAAAAACAGGAAAGGCAGCTGGGCATGGTGGCAGATGCTTGCCATCCCAGCGACTCAGGAGGCAGAAACACGAGGGCCTTGAATTCTAAGCCTACCTAGACAAAGACTGCAAGACCCTAGTTCAAAAACAAAACAAAACAAAGGGCTGGGAGTGTAGCTTACGTGGTAGAGTGTTTGCTGAGCAAGTGGGAAAAACAGTTCAAAACAAAAACAAAACAAGAACGGTTTAGAGAGTCACAACATCTTACAGCAGAGGCTGCTGGGAACAGGGCAGGGCTGCGGCCAGCCCTCCTGCTGTTGTGGTTGGGATCTTAAATGTCCCCTGAAGGCCATGTGTTAGCTTGGTCACCAGCCTGCGGAGCTATTGGGAGGGAGTGGAACCTTTGGAGGCCTAGAGGGAGGAAGTTAGGCCGCTAGGGGCCCCTTGAAGGGAGTCGTGGGATCCTGGCCCTTTCTGTCTCTCTCTCTCTCTCTCTGCTTCCTGGCCACCATGAAGTGAGTTTTGCTCCACCATGCACTGAGGCCATGGCGTCCATGCCGCCACAGGCCCCACAGCGATGGAGTCAGTCAAACATGGACCAAAATCTGTGAAACCAAGAATCAGAATAAGACCTCTTCCTTTTAAATTGTCTTCTCAGATATTTTGTCTTTGTGATAGAAATCTAACAGACTTGACACCCACAACCACATTAGTGTTAGTTTCTAGAAATTTTTGTGACTGTACAGCTTGAAATGCCTGGCATATTTTCTGTTCCCCTGCAGAGTGAGGCAGGAGTCGTTTCTGTGATCAGTTCCAGCTTTCTCAGGCCTTTCCTTGAGCTGTGGCGAGGAGGCGAGAACAGAGATACAGAAGCCAGGGCTGTGCGGGCGTCTTTATTGTTCCAGGGCAGGGGAGCAGTATACACAGCCATCTGGCAGTCACTTAGCTAGTAAAAATATCTCAATAAATAAACAAATAAGCAACATATACACTGAAACAGAGGATATAAAAAAAGACTACTGAGCAAATCATGGAGAAAGGAAGTGGGAAAGTGGGAAGAGAATTCCAGGCTTCGTTGAAGGATCATGCAGAGTTTGGGGAAGGGGGTCTTGGGTTCTTTTTCTGAGAGCCTTGGTCCAGTTTAAACAGATTGAACAAGAATGCATTTGTGTTTTATTAAAAATATACATTACAAGGCACTTAGAGGGAAATCCAAATCCTCACAGATGCACTCCTGAATCCAGAGATTTCCAGAAAGAATAAAATCCTCCCTCCCCAAATAAAACCCAGAAGAAAATCGAGATAGTGATGAGATGACAAGGCAGAGGTCACTGGCAGGAAGGGCCAGTGCCCCTCCCAAGAGGGAGTGTCTTTGAGAAGGAGGCTGAAGTCTGGGTCTTCTCTCCAGCGCTGCTGCTGTCCCTCCTGGATGCTCAGCTGGAGCTCGGGGAGATGCGGAGGCTCCTGTGAGGTTATCCAGGTTTCAGAAGTCACAGCCAAGGACGCAGCTTACTTTCACTTGAGCCTCAGACATGCGGTGGGTCTGGAAGATAAGGAGAGGGGTGAGTCACCATCTTGCCACTCTATGCCCTGGGGAGTGCGGCCTCTCACCAAGGCTGGACAGGCCAGGCAGTGAGCTGGTGCTCACCTTCCTTTAGCCCCTACCCTACCCTGGCAGAAACTGGACAGGTGACACTTGCCAGGCAACCTGCTGTCCCCAGAGCCCAGGCCTTGCCAGAGTCTGCTGACCCAGAGAGGCTGCTCCCCTAGCACACACAGCTCTCCTCAGGTCTGCATCTAACTGGGCGAGCTACTCACACAGACCGAGCATGGGCAGAGTCACCCGGCTGATGCAGGCGGCTGCGAGGAGGCTGCTGTGGGTGGTGGTGGACTGTCCAGGGCTGGGAAGGGGACAGGGGTGAGGATACAGGGAAACAGGAGAGTGGGGGGG